AAAAGAAAATGAGAAAGAAACTTAAAGAACAGATGTCTGAATCTACCTCCACTGTTCAAAGGCATGAAGTTGCATTGAATAATGAAGTGGGCAAAAAGAAGAAAAAGAAGAAAGAGCGAGCAGTTTTAAGTGAAGCTGAAACAAGGTAACATGACAAACTGTACACATTGTGTCTGTGAATCTTAAACAAAATGTTTCATTTTAAGATAGGCAGCAGCTTTCTGATAAATTGTTCATATTTTCTAAGTGATTAACTGGCTGATTCTGTTATGAAAAAAATAGTACTAAATCCTTTCTCAAAAGGCTGTCATGATTAATATTTAGCTCATGGATTCTTTTTAATATTTTTTTTTTTTAATAGTCTTCATTGCTATTTGATGTTTTTTTACTGTGGAACTCACTCTTAACTAACTTAAGATCATTTTGTGCATGATTTTTTTTAATAATAAGTGGTAGCCCTGATCCAGCAAAAGATTTAACTCTTCACATAAATGGTTCTGCAATTGTCTGGAAATTAGGGAGAAAGGAAGAGGGGAGAGCACTGAAAAAGACAAGACACTAATAGGGCTGGGGGCTGTTACGTTTTAAAGATACATAGATGATGAATTGCAAAATTTCAAGTGGATTAACAATGGCAATGAGTAATTGTATCAATACGTGCAGTAGTCTGCAGTTGCTGACAGTGATCCATTACCTTGCAGTGCAATGTCCCTTTCTGAGCTGCGGCATCATCCAAAAGAAGGTGGCAATGAAAATCAGTCACCTGAAAGGCTATTTACCTCAGAAGGACAGAAACTGGAGGAAAGCATGGATAAACAGAAATCTAAAGCCAAGAAGGTTAAGAAGAAAACCAGAAAAGGTCTGCCAACAAATATTTATAATACTGTACTATTATACTATTATAATACTGTACTACTTTGCTGCCCTTTTTTTTGTGTGCTGCTACAGATATATTTGTCCATAGTAGTAACATGGAATTGATTGAGTTGTTTGAGTTACTTATATTTCTTAAGTTACTCAATTGTACCTCTGTTCTTCCAATTCTGAAGCTTTTATGTTAGGATGTTTATTTGATAAGTCAATCTAAAATCTTGAAAATACACTTACAGTAAGTATTTTTGAGTTGAGACAGAAGTTACTTATGTCCCATTAGTGACAGCTTGTTTACTTTGCTCCAATTTCTAGAAGAAACCATGGAAGTTGCTGCAGAAAATGATGAGGAAATGAAGAATTCAGAAATTTCAACTCAGTCTAAATTTGGTTTTGGCGATGATCTTGTTTTGGGAGTTTATATCCATCGATCGGATAGACTTAAAATTGATCACTTGGTATCTCATCCTGTGGTTAAAATCCATATTGTTGATCAGAGAAGTGGCTTATATGTGAAGAAGGATTACAGGTGACTTTTAATAAACTGTTTCTATTATAAGCAATGGTTTGTGTGAAAAAAATAAACTTGTGTAGCTGTTTGTTAGTTTCTACATCTATGATAATATGTTATATATATGTATATATATATATACATATATACACATATACACACACACACATATACACACACACACATATATATACATACATACATATATATATATATATACACACAATAAATGAGGGTGATATTTTGCTTTTCCTTTTGGCACTTTTAAATGCTCTGCACTGCTGTATTACTCTTGAGGCTCCCCAGGGCAGTGGTCACAGCACCGAACCTGACAAGAGTTCAAGCAGCACTTTCAAACAGCATTTGGAAGTGCTCTCAGGCACATTGAGTGATTTTTGGGGATGGTGCTTTGCAAGGCCAGGAGTTGGACTTGGTGATCCTTGTGGGCCCCTTCCAACTCAGCTTATTCTGTGAATCTGTGACATTTCCAACAACTGTATTCTTCCCAGAGGCAAAATTTCTTAAGGATCAAAAATGTATAAAAGCCAAGAACATGTAAGCTAAATTCTTGTAGTATAAATAGTGTCTGTCTTTTATATTAAGAACTTTTAAACTCCTTAAATGAAGTTTAGTTCTTTTTATTTCTAGTTACTTCAGTTGCTTGTTTCTGCTGTCATTATCCACTATTTTCCTGAAACCAAATTTTAATGGGGCTTAAGCAGTAGACTCCACCATGATCATTATGCATTAATTTACTAACAGTAATTTAATTGTTAGGATTTTCAACCTCAGCCTGTAGTTTTTCTGTATACATTGCAAATTGTCTTAATTTTTTGGTGAATTTAGAAAATTTTTTCTAGAATCAGACAAATAGTATCTTACATGTTTCTTAGCTTTCAGTAACTAAAAATATTGTTTTGTTCAAGGTTATTTTTTAAAT